GGGAGGTGTGAGCCCGGCGAGATGGTGTCGCGGCTGCGGTGGGGCGGGGGACGCGCCGGTGCCGAGGGGGAACGGCGGCCGGGTCAGGTGAAAATCGTTCATCTGCATTCACAAACGACGTGTGTGTGTGTGTGTGTGTGTGTGTGTGTGCGCGCGCATAGGAGCTTCTGGTGAAACGCACCGAGGCGCTGCTCCAAAATTGATGCCCATCAAAGGTGTTTTTAAGTTATTGAACAGAACTGAGGTGAAACCTGCCAACCTCCTCCCGCTGTTTCAGTGCCGGCATTCCACCCGGGAAGAAGGGCCGCGTGGCTCTCCTCGGAGCCAGGCGGCAAAGCTCGATGCACCTGTCATGGCGGGGCTGATCCAGCTCTCCCCTGCCCAAACAGAGCTTCTCCTCGTCATAGAGCAACAACCATCAATTCTCTGAAGATTCTCAATGGGTGTGTGTCCACCAGGACATTTTCCGTCGTGTCCTTGCGGCTGTTAGCATGTACAGAGCTGCCCAGCAGGTAGGGGGGTACTTCTTGTGGCCACACAAGCCCAACAGATTTGTGCCATTGCCATTGCTCCACCTCCCTCCAGGAGTGCTTTCAGAGTGCAATAAAATTGGGTGTCCTCCTTTCCTACGGAGAGGGGGACAGGCTTGCACCTTCTCCCCCATTTCTCCAGCAATGTGGTGGTAGGGTATGCCTGGAAAGCTGCTTGTGTTCCCACCTCCTTGGCACCACATCGTTGTCTCCCGACACAGGCATCGGTGAGCTGGTAGAGGTGTCTTAAATCTCTGCTTTGAAATTGGTCCAGTTTGTGTGGAATAATAAAATGTTCATAGGACTTGACTGGCTCAGGTTAACTTTGCAACCTGACTGTGGAGTCCGTAGGCTAGGGCAGTCAACAGAGCATGGGGGAAAAAACAGGGCTTGGTGTTTGCTGCAGTGAATGTTTAAGCACATTGTGAAGAGTAGCAGAGCTTTAATGGGAGAAAAGTTGTGAGAGTCCAAGGTATTATATCATATAGCTGAGTCATTAGAGAGTTCTTGTGGGAGATGTAAATGTTAGTTCCTTCAGGCAGAGAGGAGATTTGAGTCTCCCATGTTCAGTGTGTGGCGTTTAATCACCAAGGTACTAAAAAAGCTCCATTTTGTGAAAAGGGCGAGGATTCAAGGTCACACACACAGTGAGAGCTCTTGCTGCCTGTGCCTGAATTTTGCCCTTCCATCTTGTGTCTCCCTGTTAACCTAGCTTATCTAGCTCTCACTCAGTGTGGGGACAGGGGTGGCTTTGAGAAAATCTGCCTTTTGCAACGTAATTCCTTTTATGTCTGGAATGCAGCCATTCAGCTCAGGTCTCCAGATACCTGAAAGGTAGACTTGCAGCCCTTGCTCCTTCTGTGACTCTAGGGCACCGCCTGTATACAGACACTGTGAAATGGTTGACACGTAATTAAATAACATTATGTTTTTTTCTGAGAGCAAGACAACAGTTTCTAAAACTGATAATCACATAGAAGGGCTTGAAGACCGTACTACCTGAACGTGAGCTTCTGCCAGGAAGAAGCCTTTGTGTAATCTTCACAGATTTCAGGAAAGCATCACAAAGGTGACCACAATCTGGCTACATCTTGATGCAACACTGAGGCCTTCTATTTGTCTTTAATGAGATACTAAAATGTGTAAACATTTTTGAGATGAGAGCCCGAGGTTGCAAGCCAACTCCAATATAAATTCCTGTTCTGTCTGCTTATAACTTTCCCAGAACAATTTCCTTGAGGAATTAAGTCTATGATTAGTCGCAGCTCAAAGATGATTTTTTGAATGTTTGAATAAAGTCCAACTACTTTTAAAGTACATAGGCTATGAATACAGATTAATCTGTTTCTAACATTAAAAATATGTCCAAAAGTAACTCAAAAAGGATTGAGCTCTAAAGTTTATATGCACCTAATGGATATCAACAAGCCTGAAAAGATAATTAAACCAGTGGTTTTGTCGTTGGTTAAATGTTTGCTTTTGTCCACACTAACTTTTATTCATTTTGAAGAGTTGGTAGTATTTTGAGCTATAAACTTAGTACAGCATGTTAAGTTTGGTCCATATAGATCTCTTATACAAGAGAAACTGAAGAAAAAATGGAATTTAGGTAAGTGTTAAATTACAGTGTTGTCACTGGTCAATTAACAATCCAAATGATGGCCTAGACTAGACAAAGCACATCTGAAATGGCATGGTTGAAATTCATTTTTTAATGCTGTTTGTAAATACAGGCTTTTTCATGTTACACCTTTTTTTTTTTTTTTTTCTTATCCCTTTTCATCAGGAATATGCCTACACATCCCTTTCTTTCATTTTTTGTAAACCGCAGTCTAAGCATGAAAATGGGATTTTGAAAGATTTTAATTACTTTTCATATCCATTAAGGTTTATGAAATTAAAATTAAACCATTTCAATTAATAATTTAATTGTTATGAATTGTGCTATTTAGTTATCGTTCAAAGTGAGAGGAGAAATTTCATCATATACTTCATTTACAAAACACCAAGTATTTCAAAATTCAGCAACACAATTGACCACCTTCACGTATGGACAGTAACAGGAGTTACTCAATAGTTACTTCAAACAAGTTCACCTGCTGTTTTTTAATGAACTGTTTCAATCAACTAGCTGGAACCAGAGGTGCTTGAGTCATCACTGGATGGATCCAGCACCTTGTTCACTGTGGTCACTGCTCATGACTACAGGGCAGATGATCCTGCAATCCTGTCATTAGCTCAGCTGGAGACTGAGGGCTGCTGGAGGGTTGCCAGTATAGAGGAATCCCCTTGGATTGCACCTCCTACATACATACTTTCCGAATGAGCACGTACAGATGGACTCGATGCCGGCCTTGCTGCCATGTAGGGAGAGTGAATGTCTGCAAGAACTCTTACTTCAACCTTAAAATCTTATCATTCAGGTTAGTGCAAGAGAGCAAGATCTTCACAGTGTAAATATTTAGAGATCTGTCTTCCATATATGTAATATTTCTTCAGACAGGAAACAACAAGCCTTGTTGCCACCACAGATTCTCCAAGGATTGATCTTCTCCAGAAGCAGAATTTTAATATTTTCTTTCTTTGGCTCCTTAACTATGTGATACAGCTGTATGCATTCATCATAGTATATGCAGTAGTTTATGTCTTTGTACAGAGTAATTATAAAGCCAACAAATGGGAATATTATAGGGTTTTTACTCAAAACAGTCAGAATCATGGCAAATCAGTCTGATGTATGTTTTAAATCCCATGTGACTGCTTCATAAATAATTTCTTTAAAACTTTAACGAAAAGAATTTTTTATGGTATGAAGCTGCATTTATTGTTAGTTTAGACAGAAGGCTTTTCTGGGTTCATTAATATTGCTGACTGTAGTCTCTAAGTTAATTTGCAAAGGTGTTTGCATTTTTTTTCTTCCTTAGAGAAGTATTCATAAGAAAATTCTCACCTTTCAGCTCTGAAAAAGTTGTAGTTCTGCATCTGCCTTTTCTTAGAAAGTTCAAGTCAAGTCTTGATCTTCCTTTCTTGTTTTGTTTTTAGTTGGCTGATTAGTTGGTTTATTGGGTTTACTGACTGATTCCAAAACGCCTACTGAGACATTTTTCAGTCCTTATTTTAATTCTTATGAAATAATGTTGAACTTTGTGGAGAAGGAAGTTTTCTCACACGTTTTAATTAAATAAATACTTACAGAAATCGACAGTTCCAGCAATCTTTAAAAAAATCAGCTTACTTTAGATTAATCAGCTCTACTCCAATGCCAATATACTCAAAATCATATCTTTCTAGATCATCTGGAAAAGTTGTTTTAAAATATTCATTATAGCTGCACTTGGGGAATGTGGCCAAGTAGGTAGTCTTTTTTTTTATGGGGATTGCATTCAAATTCAGATTTTATGAAAGACTTCTAGAAGCTTTATCATCCCTTTAAAGTGTATAGACTATAGGTGTATAGACTGTGTGCACTGTATTGTAGGAGCAAGGGTTAAAACTAAATCCTCCACCAGGCGGTGACTGATGCATTACCAGCCAAAAGACCACCATGATTTTGTCACTGTGACCATCTTGCTCTCCTTTACTTCTCCATTTCCACTTGTGTTCTCACTGATGAAACTGCATCTTATAGAAGCGCCAAGTTCTGGAAAGTATTTTGGATCTCTCAACCTACAACTGTAATGGATGTAGTTCCATTCTAGTCTGAGATCATTTATTTAATTGTTTGTAGAGTACAGGTCTTAGATTCTTAACTGTTTGATCTTTGATTAGTCAGCCAAGTGGTATATATAATTAAGCTGAAGATCAAATAAAATAGATGATCAAATCATTGAAAATTGGTCCAGTTGTTAAATAGACCCTCCCTTTTTTACCTCTGGAAAATCTATGAGCAAAGTAGCCAGTCAACCAGGTTTTTAGATTGGTTTTGGTTTCTAGGAATGATCATAAACATTTGCATATTGACTATTTAATCGCATTGGAAATGTGGGCTCTTAGTTTGTAGTTCTCAGTCACAAAGATTGTGTGGAATTGTTTTCTTTTGACTGATCCTAACACTCATAGAGGAAAGCACTTTGGAAAATGCTTTGATTAAGAACGCACTTTGTGTCCCCTGACTACCCTAGGATTTCTATGATGTCTAAAAGTTCTACAATGTATGTGTGATTTTCTTGAATGATCAGGGGTGCATCTGTCTGTTGTGATGAGGCACAAATCTTTAAAAACTCAGGCTAGGAATAAATAAATAGATTTTTGGATATTTTTTTTTTTAAACCCTGAAGCACCAGGCTTGTTGATGCAGAATGTGTAGCTAGTTAGTGTTTAGCACAGGCGCACAATTTTTGTCATTATATTATCACATAGTAACTGGAAGC